GCTGACATCCTTCAGCTCTATAGAGCGGTTGTGGGACTCTTTGAGGTTGGAGGTGAACATGGAGCGGAAGAAACTGCTCTGTGCTGAGAGCACAAGCCGGTGCAGGTGAAACTCTTTGCTGTCCACGGTGATGGTGACATCAGCAAACAGGCCGTCCTCCAGACACAGGTCCATAATGCTTTTCACTACACGGCTGGAGTGGGAGCGGTCGGTGAAGGTGTATCCCAGGAAGTAGTTCTCCTCTCCAACAGAGCCCCCGACACTGAGGCCCCCATCCTCACTGGAATCCATCTTTGCTGCTCACCTGACAGAGTCAACAAAAAACATAGCATCATTTTACACCAATTTATATAATATGTCTGGCTAAAACTAATGCACTCTACTACAAAATCCTGCCTTCATTAAGTTATAATGTTCAGTAGAGAAGGGTTGATTGTAGCCTTACAATGGAGGCCAATACGGATGTTGATACTGTAGGGTTTACTACTATGATATACACCGATCCACCAAAACATTAAAGCCACTGGCGGGTGAAGAGAATAGCATTGCTGCAAAGTTGTGTTAGGGAAACTTAGGTCCTGGCATTCATGTAGATGCCGTCTGACACACTCCACCCACCCAAACACAGCTACAGTCCAAGCAATGCCCTCAGCACTCCCCAATGGCATTGCCGTCTGACACACTCCACCCACCCAAACACAGCTACAGTCCAAGCAATGCCCTCAGCACTCCCCAATGGCAGTGGCCCTCCCAGCCGACACGGTGCCATGCCACAACGCAAACACTGCTCAGGAATGGCCCAAGGAATGTCACAAAGAGCTCAAGGCATCAACCTGGCCTCCAAATTCCCCAGACCCCAATCTAAATGAGCATTTGTGGGATGTTGCAGTACCCCAGAGGTACCCCCGATCCAAAGTAGGGCCTCCTTGGATCAGACTTGGCTCTGATCTGTCAAGGGATGACACGGGGGGGTGTCCTGTGGTGTTTGGCATCGGGACGTTAGTGGCAGATGCTTTGAATCCTGTGCGATATGAGATGGGGTACCTGCACGTCACTCTGATGCCTGATCATATTGGGATCTGGGGAATTTAGAGGCCAGGTCGACACCTTGAGCTCTTTGTCATATTCCTCGGGCCATTCCTGGGCAGTTTTGCAGTGTAGCATGGCACATTTTATGCTGGGAGGACCACTGCCCTCAGGGAATGTCGTTGCCATGAGGGGGGGTACTTGGTCTACAATGGCATTTGGGTGGTTGGACCAAGTCAGGTGGCATCCACATGAGTGTTAGGATCCTGCAGAGCACTGCATTGTAACAGAATCATCAATGTTATTCACTTCACCTGAATGGGACATTTTGAAAGTGTGTCAGTGGTCTTTAGTAATGGCAACAGTCAAACACATTTAAGCATTTCTGTACTGCAATTTTTTGATACTCATCAGCTCAATATCCCTTTAACTTCGACAATGATTGAACTTTATGGTTGTTCTGGAGACTGTATTTTGTGGTGCTGTTAAATTGTACTGCGTTATACTGAATGGTGTTTCTAAACATAAGCCCACCTCATTTAGTTCAACTACGAGACACTAAATAAAGCCTCCAACAGCACCATACAGTTAAACACACCTCACCTATAACCCTCATAGAGGTTATAGGACTGTTACATTAACGTTAGACTGTATTAGTTTTAGCTAATCTTGTGAAATGAGTATATATTGTTATAATATCCAAAACACAGAGGCTGCTTCTTAACGGCTTGGTTATATTGCTATTAAAATGCACTTCTGAAACACGTTTTTAGGTGTTAATGTCACCGGTTCATACACAGATGAGGGTGCAGTGCCTGAGAAGCTAACGCTAGCTCTGTTGTTATGATTAGCTAGCGTTAGCAACCACAGCAGCTAGCTGGCTGGCTAACTTTCCCTCGACTGACAGTTCAACAGTGATATCCTGGAGGCAGAGTTATAATTAGGACTGTAAACGAGACAAGAGCGTCGTAACGCTTTGAAAGTGACAAGTAAACAGTCGTGTTTACCTTTATCGCCACTACTTTATCATGCAGGAGCAGCTGAACTCTTCACCGGAAGTAAATAAACCTTTTCATGACACGAGTCTCTGGTATGAACTGATGGTGCTGCCTCCTGGTGGTGGAGCTGTGGTACTGCAGGTACTCTTTTTTTCTGCTGATGTAAATAAAGCTGTACAACACTCAGCTCACAAGGTACAGTTTGTCAAAAATATTAAATATGTATTTTGAAGAGAGAGAAGTCACTTAAGTAGATTGGACAGTTTGCTAATTACTTAATATCTTACATAGTAATTTACTCCAGGGGATGTTGTAATACACACTGTCACAGCGTGCAGCAACTGCATGAGGTAAGGCTATATTCATGGGCGTACATTTAAAGGCAGACGAAGGGGAAACATCCCCCTCAACATCTAGAGCATGTGCATTTATCCCACCCAATAAAAACCTGAAAGTTGCAGAGGTCTTTTATTTTCACGAAATTAACAGATTTTTCTCCCATATTGATGCAGAAAAGGCACAAGCCGATGCACAAAAAAATCACCAGAATGGTAAAAGCCAAAGAGAGGAGCTTTGAAATCTCAAATAACATCTAAAGGGGAAGCTTTACAATGGACTGGCAAGCTCCAGATGCTCCTCTGAAATTCACCTTATGAATGATTCTCATGTAAACAATAATGCATTAGGAACATAGTGTACATGTGTGTAAAATGTATCTTATTATGAATAATGTGGGTCTATATGACTATAAAAGCATTGTTACATCTTCCCCCATTATTAATTAATTTTTTAAAATTTATTTTTCCCCCATGTTTTGTTTTAATTGAATTTTCTTTGTTGTTGTTGGTATTAATTTACTTACAGTTATACTTGCCTGTGTTTCATTTTTATCAAGCTCAGGCTTAATACAAAAGTAATGATGAAAAAAATATATATATTATTAAAAAAAAAAATCTAATGAATTCTTGTATAAAATGTTTAATTAGGCCCTTGGAAAAAAACTACATATACTATCAGGGATAATAAATCACTGTATCACACCACCTGGGGTCCCTTCATGTGTTACATAGAGAGGACAGACCTTTTTTTCTTGTTAAGTGTAGTCAAAATGTATACAATATAATGTGTACTCAAACTGAAGTGTATTGTATTGCACTAAAACAATCCTCAACCTGTAATTTATGATTTTCTTGCCCCTCTTATTTTTATTTTTTCCTCCCTCATTAATTTAATTTAATTTAATCTAATTTAATTTGTTTTTGTTTGTTTGTTTTTATTTTATTATTATTTTTTATTTATTTATTTTATCTTTAGATCCATACTTTTGAGGTGGGGGTGGATTAAATGTGTGTTAAATACTCAGTGGTTGTACCAACATTTTGTCCTGGTGTCCTTTTCTTGTCCTTCTGTGTTTGTGGATCAATATACACACACATAATGGATGTGTGTATGTGTATGACTTTGTTTGTTATATTGTTTATTGTTGTTAAAGTCAGTAAAGATACTGGTGGGAAAAGAAGGTTTAATTAGGACAATAATACTCAGACTGCAGAGCATATTTGTTTTCTAGTATGAATTAGTGCAGGAGTTCTGGGTATCTTTCCACAGCTGGTGTCACTGACTGAATGTGACGTCTGCTGGAGCAGCTATGAAGGAGAAACAGCTGGATTTGTGGTAAATAATTAGATTTCATTGGGTTAACGTTTATTTATAGTTGTAAATACTCCTGAATGAACAAATATAAGAATGAACTCAACTATAACTACTTTCATAAAGGTCAAACCTCTTCTTTTACTGGACTCATTAATGTTTAATGAGTCTTTTTGTTGTTGTTGCCAGTGTGAACTTTCAGCCCCACTAACTCAAAGTTCTGCACGCAGTGGAAATGAAGGACCAGAATAAAAAAATATTGCTCTCTGCTTTGCATCACAGCCATCTGGCTTTTGGTCCCTTTTTCCAAGGTGGAAAAATGAATGGTATTCAGGCTGAGCTGCTTCTGCCTGAATTCACAACAGTGGGCAAGGGAGCGGAGAGGTGAGAAGGATGCTGTGTTTTATCTGTCGGAGATAATCAAAGGAAGAATGACCATGAAAACACACCTTAATATCTGCCTTCAGGTCGTTTTATTGCTTTCGTTTGAGCAAGTGCTGCAAGGTAAGTAGAAACAGAAGATCTTCTAACAGGACAGACGTTTTTAGGGTTGTTATATAATGATACTCCATGTTCTGATCAATAAGCAGTTAGCAGCAAAAGTGTCAGTGTATGCAGGCACTGATAGTTTCTCTGCATTTTAAGTATTCTACAGTTAAACTGGAGCATTTTCTTCTTTAGATGTGGCTGCAGGCAGAAGTCCAACTTCTCTTAAGCCTGGCCCATCAGTCTCTGATGCAAACCTGATGTTTGAGGTACTTGTTTCATTTTTCGAGTTAAAAGAAGTCGACACGCAGCTAAATCAAACATCTAGAGTAAGTGATGCATATTTATTTTTCTGCCCTGTGCACAGATCTTGCTGGGCGGAGTGGAGCTCGACCAGGACAACAACATCGTCCTGCTCGACAAGGAAATAGCATCGATGAAGCAAGGGCGGACGTTTCTGTCTCAGATCAACGACAACATTCCCAGAAGTGTGAGCTCCATGGTGCAGATGGTGACCATACTGAAAGGTCAGAGAAGGGGGAGGCCACTGACTCCAGATCAGTTTGACAGCCTTGTTCTGAGCATGGTGTACTCTGCCCAGCAGGCCTGGCATCAGGAGACAGACGAAGAACAGGAGCCCTGGAGTGAAGTGCTCCTCCAGCTGGCAAACGTCACAGTCTATGATTTACGCGGAAGTTATCTCTTCAATTATGCATGATACACAACCTGCTATTCTGAATGAGATTAAGGCGTCTGCAATAAATCCTTTGCCTTAAATCTTCCTCTAACGTGTGCTTATCGTAACACATGTGGTCAAAGATTTGTAAGATAAGAACTAAATCATGTATGAAACATAATTTTTTATTATAGTACAGTGGAAAAAGACTTGTGAGAACGTACAAGAGTTCCAGTTTTTAACTGGTTTATAAAACAACATCAGAAACATTTTTTAAACATTCAAACAATCCCTGAAGTTAAAGACAGAACGAACACTAATAAAGGAATATATGCATGGATTTTTAACATCCATGCTTTTATACAGTTTGGTGATTTGCAAACATATCTCTGGGGAGAGGAGTTCCAGGAGGTCCCCAGAAAACTGGAGATTAGTGTATTTTTTACTAATTACTTTACTATAGAATTGAGCCCAATGTGAGAAAGGCTGTGTTCACACTACCAGCGATGCAGCAACAGGCCACAAGTCATTTTCAGTGGAAGCTGCCGACAAGAAGCTACAAACTGACTGGCAGCACTTGTCGCTAAAAGCTGAGCTGGCCTCAACTTCTTTTAAGCGCTCCAATAACGCGGTGAAGCGCCAACCAGTCATATGTGGCTGTTTTCTAGCAGTGACACTATGCTAACTTTATATGCATCGCTGTGCACACAGGGACACAACGGGCAGCGAAATGTGATGTCTAACAGGCTCTGACATTTATCAAATGTATAGATTGTTTTGACCAAATACAAACTTTAGATGGCGTTCAGTCAAATTGCTTTGTGGCAAGTAGCAGACACACACAAGCTCATCATAACTGTAATAAGGAGCATTTGCGCAGCACTTTAACAGCGACTGTAGCTGCTCATGCTGTTGCCATGTTGCTCATAGTGTGAACACAGCATCAGAGGCATAAGACTGATCATAGCTTTTACTTCCTCCTCGGTCATCACCTCAACTGTGACAACTACAGAATTTTAGTCTTAACCAAACTCTTTTCAGATGGAGAACCCTGCAGCGAAATCTTACCAAATGGGGAACGCTCATATAGTTTACATCTTCCTCATATCTGCTTGTTTTTTTTAGTACTACTCGTCTTTGTCTTGGTTTGGGTCTCTGGTTCCTCCAGAGAAGCCAGTTTCTTCTTGAGCTTTGCATCCAAAGCAGGACCTCTCTTGTCCCTGCTGGGGCGCTGCTGCCGATTCCTCCTCTGGCCTTGTAAACTGTCCACTGAGGTCGAGGCTTTCTCCGACTCTTTGTGCCCATCGTTTATCAACCACTCGTTTCTATCCCACACCAGCACTGTCACACCTGTGAGTGAACATTAAGCAGCTTTAGTGACTCACTTTTACCACCTCTCACAGAACTGCCTTGATCTGACATCACATCCATTAATAACATGCTTTTAAAAAACTCACCCATTCCAGATCCAATCACATCACCCAATGGACTGAATTTGTTGACCTGTAAATAAATATATCTCTGCTTTAATAACTACAGTTTCCTGTCTTTGTGGTTTTTACAGTGTTGTTAGAAACATACTTACAGATTTAATCCCTGACACGGTGGGATCCTGCAGCTGACACACAAGCTCTGCTGTGTTGGAATCAAAGATGTCGATGGTCCTCTGATCTCCGGGGCAAACTCGGTCATCAGGGTAGCGGCCCGCCATGATGAGGTCATAGACAGGGTGCCATGTGGCCTGCAGATAAATAACAACAGTATTCTGTTATCAAAATTACAAATGACAAGATATTGCTTACCCCTGGTATGTCTCTTTAAATGCTACCTGGTCCATTATTACAACAGGTCAAACTGATCACTATAAAGTGGACGATTATCATAACCAAATATTTTTACTTTTTCTTTATTCCTTGTGCAGATTATCATCTCACTGACATTTATACATTTACTGCATGGATAGGTCTTTAAAGTAATGGTGGGTATCACATGGGAGCATTATGTGACTGCGCATTATCAATCCACTTGACAAGGGCTGCCTCACCCACAGGTGCTGTCACATTTGTTTTCTGTCTCCATCAGCACTCATGTTTCTTGTTGTTAGAGCAGAATACACAAGGTAACCCAAGGAACGCCAAGTTCCACTGCTGCATCTCGTTGGCTTGTTTTTGACATTTGTCACAAGCTTTTAGGAGACTTCAATTTCATTGAGAGAAAATTATTATCGGTTCTAGGCAAAGAATCACGGGAGTGAACCGTAGTTTTAGATGTTTTTCCATACATGATCAACCCACAATGAACACTTTAAGCAGTCTAATTACTATAAGCAAATTATTTAAACAGCATTTGTGGAGGAATGATTCTGTCCCAAGATTTTTGATCCACATATGCAGTTGATCACTGTAGGTGGGCTCCACTGTATCTACAAATGACCTAAATATTAATATTATTTCTCCAACTGACTCTTAAACCCATTTTGATACCAATGACATGGTGTAATATGCATTTAGCTTCTGTCCTAAAGCCCCGTCCAGCTACACTTAGACTTTTTCCAGACATCTCTCTTAAACTTGTACTGAATGCCGAAGGGATGGAATGTGTTTTAGTCACAAGAAGCTGTAGTTTCACTGTACGTCTTCCTTTAAGCATTGATGCCTTGATGGCTGTCAAGCAACGAGAAAATCAGGTTTAACATGTTTCTCTTTAACAAACAACATTAAAAAACTTAGTGATGCAGTCTTAATTGTGCTTTACGGTCCACAACAACATTTTGAATATAAAAATAATCCATAGCACAGAAAAGGCTGAAAATCCATATCTTTAACTTAATTTTAGTCCCATGTAGTGAAGTCTTTCATGTTCGTTTATGCAATTAAACTATGTTTGTTAGTTTTGTTTTTGAAGTCATGATCCCTCAGGATGAGTTACAGAAGGAGAGATACATATCTGGAGAAGAAACAAACCTTGATGGGTGTGAGATGCTGAAACTGTCTGTGTGGATGCTGGATGATATGTTGAGGCTTCGACCAATCAGAGGACGAGTAGACGCGGATCTGGTCATACTGATCTGTGGTGAGCAGCTTGGAGCAGTCCAGTGGGTTGAAATAGGCTGCGAGGAAACGACAGTAACAGCTTTACCAAGATAATCTAGATTTTCAACCTTATGACAACCATATTGCACAAATGTTGAGTGAGTGTTACCTGAGTTGACGGCTTTCTCATGAGGCATCTCGTGGAGGAAGCTCTTCTTGTCTTTGATGTTTCTCAGGTCCCAAAGTTTCACCGTGTGGTCGACCGAGGCCGTCGCCAACAACCAGTCACAGCGGGGGTTGAACTCTGCGTGGGTCACTTTGGCTTTGTGCAACTTGTCACTGAAAATCTGCAACATACAAACAACAAAAGGCATTTACAATCAAAATGAGCAGCTTTTAAAGTCATTGCAGTACTTGCTTGCTTGAGTAATACTGATCCTCTTTAGTGGCTTCAAGACAACATGAGCTCTTTTCTCATTATAACACAGTAGAATTACTAAAATTATCTTCTTCACTGGGCAGTGGACACACGTACCTTTTGGCCATCCAAACCCAGGAGTACGAGCTGTCCCACATTGTCTCCTGTTACAAGCATCTGTCGACTCACAGACACGTCGAGACAGCAGTACCAGTAGCTGAAGGAAACAAAGAACAAAGTGAGTTTACTGGAGATAACTAAAATTAAACAGAGATGAAGCTTTAGATTTCATACTGCAACAATTACTTAATGATCCAACAGAGAAAATTTAGCAGAATTAGAAAATGTCTGAAATAATGATCAACATTTTTAATATATTTAACAGAATGTGTATTAAAACATTTGAAACTGACACTAATGAACATAATATTCCTTACTTCATTACTCTCCAGTCAAAGCTATTTATTTCTATCATCTTTCAAATCCTTAAACACAGCTTTTGTATTTCCTGAAAAGCTGGACTGTTTGAGACGTAAATATACATGCATATACTACAACATATGATAATCACATCTTTATTCTGAGCGTCAGTCTTCTGCCAGTTTCCTCACCAAACATTGTGGTGATCGTGGCCACAGTCTTGTGTTCTGGACACAACGGTGGGTGTGCGGCCCTCAAAGCTCTGCATGGTCAATGTGCCCTCGCCAGAAGCCACATAGACTCTGGAAAGATCCGTCGGGCAGAACTTCATCCCTCCGATAAAGTCTCCTGCTCCGCTCTGTCCACAGAAACACAAATGCAGGCTTGTCACAGGGCAGTTATCAGCACCACACAAATGTTCACCACTAAACCAGTGAGGGTCACCTGATGAGAAGACTGATGCTCAGATTTAAAAGCTGCAATCCTTTTTGATTGTAGCTAACAGAAAACAAAAGGGACACAGTCTCTTACTTCAGTTCATCTGTGTGGACAAACACCGTTAGAGTTGTCCCATTAAAATCTCGAAGTGCTGTCATACCCCCCATAGACGAGATGAACAGCTGAGTGGGATTTAACTGGTTAAACTTCATGTCTGTAACTGAGTCTCCAGCCCCCATCTAAGCACAGAACCAATGACAGTGTATCGTCATGTCAATTTAATGTGCACACGTATGAAATTAATCACAGCCTCAAAATGTATTTGTTCTTGGCCACTAATAACTGTATTATGGACCCCAATTTCTGATTGTGTGATGAAAAAATAAGATCCTGTAAGTCATTACAATGGGAAACTTTCTCAAAAATATGAGAACAGGTTTTCAAAACTAGAAAAGTGAAATCAGTAGAGTGCAAATCTCTGCCAGGCAGCCATCCGGGATGATCGTGGCCACTCTAGACAATTCTTGTAATTCCAGTAGAAGCACCGCAGCGTGTTTCAGAAGCATCTCAGAAACTTTAAAAAACACAGGCCTCTTCTTTTTTTTAAGCAGCTGCAGTTCATTACATGGAGCAGATCAGGTTTTCCTGCTAAGAGGCACTATATGCGAAATATAGATGTGATAAAATAATCAGGATGAATGTATTTTAAATAGCTAAAACACAGCCACAAATCTTTGATCCATGTTGTTCATAACCGGACTTCAACTTTATCTGTAGGCTACAGCACTACAAATTAGGAAATAACACAATTAAAACAGACATTTTTTTAAACTACATACCCTGGTTACTTATAATAGAAGGACAAATATAAAGGAAAAATGACAAATTCAACAAAATCTGCAACAGCTACAAAATCAGGCAGGCTAAATGTTTGGCTTCTGAAACGCTCCCGCTCTGGTATGGTGCCATGTAGCTGATGGGAAAAAACGGGGTCACAGCTGCGCCTGGTGGAACTTTCACTTTTTTACAGTCAAGATGGCAGCAAAGAAAACAAAAATGGGTACTAACATAATCCATCTTGCAACGGGCCCAACATTGGTGGATCATAATATATCAGATATGGAATTAATCCACAAATGTTACCGTTCAAAATTGGACCAAAATTTTCTTTGGATGTCAGTTTTTGAGCTACGATGAAGGCCAACATGTGTCTTGCAACAGATGGTAAGGTTGTTGTTTTTACTTAAGCCAGTTTCTGGAAAATTTGTGGACCTAACAGCCAGCTAAGAGGAGCATGGAGTCAGCAGGTAATGATGGTATAAAAAAAGTCAATAAAACAGGTTTCTCAAAAATTATGGACCACCGCAACCACGGGAGATTCTTGAACATATCAACATTAATGTGCACACAAAATACTAGGCTGATTGGTCCAGTAGTTTGCAAGACAAACACACTCACGCACACAAATGTGGTGGAGATAACAATGATTTAGTGTCTGAAATTAATGATAAGCAATACTAAGTGATTATAATGAAAAAGTTTCCTGTTATAATGACTCAAAGGATCTTTTTTTTTTCGCACTGGCAGAAATAGGCTTCCATAATGCAGCTACTTACACTCTACCAAGTGCACGTTTGTTGCTAGTTTTGAAAACTTTTTCTCAATATTTGAGCAAGTAGTTCATCATTTAGAGATTCTGAGACATTATTTTGAGAAAGTTTTTCTCAAAGATTGTAACTCATTAATTTAAGAAAGCTTCTCATAATAGTGACTAAGATGATCTTTTTTTCATCATAATGGTAGAAATAGGCTTTAATATTTTGCATTATCTAAAAAGCAGTGTTTTAAGAAAATATATAATTTGCTGAACGCCTCATATTGTTGGTCAGTGACATTTCTGGTACAACAAACCAGACCATAGTGCAGGAACCCACCCCTTCAATAAAGGTTTTCTTCTCAGGCACCTCATAGTCCCACAGAAATATGTCACCACCCTTTGAGCCCACGGCCATAGTAGTGGGATGAGTGGGATGCCACTCCAGACAGGTAATTCTGCGGTTGAAGGGGCTGCTGGCAGAGTGGAAATGATACGATGATAACGAGCGGACAAAAGGCTCCTGAAGACACTGGAAGAGAAAACAGAGTTAGATGAACAACTGCAACCTGAGGAGTTAACACGACCATGAATATACACTCACCGGCCACTTTATTAGGTACACCGCTTCAAATGCTAGCTATCACAAATAACTAATCAGCTAATTTTGTGGCAGCAACTTAATGCGTTTAGGCATGTAGACATGTTGAAGTTCAAACTGAGCATCAGAATGGAGAAGAAAGGTGATTTAAGTGACTCTGAACGTGGCATGGTTGTTGGTGCCAGACGAGCTGGTCTGAGTATTTCAGAAACTGCTGATCTACTGGGATTTTCACACACAACCATCTCTAGGGTTTACAGAGGATGGTCTGAAAAAGAAACTATCCAGTGAGCAGCAGTTCTCTGGGTGACATTGGCTTGTTGATGCCAGAGGTCAGAGGAGAATGGCCAGACTGGTTCAAGATGATAGAAAGGCAACAGTAACTCAAATAACCACTGGTTACAACCAAGGTCTGCAGAAGACCATCTCTGAACCAACAGCATGTTGAACCTTGAAGTAGATGGGCTACAGCAGCTGAAGACCACACCAGTTACCACTCCTGTCAGCTAACAACAGGAAACTGAGGCTACAATTCACTGGTGTAAATTTGGCGTAAACAACATGAAAGCATGGATCCATCCTGCCTTGTGTCAGCGGTTCAGGCTGGTGGTGGTGGTGTAATGGTGTGGGGGATATTTTCTTGGCACACTTTGGGCCCCTTAGTACCAACTGAGCATGGTTTAAACACCACAGCCTACCTGAGTATTGTTGCTGACCGTGTCCATATCTTTATGACCACAGTGTACCCATCTTCTGATGGCTACTTCCAGCAGGATAAGGCGCTATGTCACAAACCTCAAATCATCTCAAACTGGTTTCTTGAACAGTGAGTTCACTGTACTCCAATGGCCTCCACATTCACCACATCTCAATCCAATAGAGCACCTTTGGGATGTGATGGAACGGGAGATTCACTTCATGGATGTGCAGCTGACAAATCTGCAGCAACTGTGTGATGCTATCATGTCAATATGGACCAAAAACTCTGAGGAATGTTTCCAGCACCTTGTTGAATCTATGCTGCGAAGAATTAAGGCAGTTCTGACGGCAAAAGGGGTCCAACCTGGTACTAGCAAGGTGTGCCTAATAAAATGGCCAGTAGGTGTATGTTTCTACATATCAGAAAATGATGCACACATGCACAGTCAGTAAACTGCAGTAGAACTACATCCATATACAGCCATGATGACCCTATAAGTTGATGTACACTGTTAGTTTCTGTATTTGTGCAGTCTAACAGTCTCACCTGTCTCATCTGTGAGTGAAGACTTTGTCCCAGAGTGCTCTTGTAAATGTAGTGCAGGATGCTCCCATACCCTCCTCTCTTCCGGATTCCTGCAGACTTGGGGGGAGACTCTGCAAAACACGCAAATCAAATCATGACAAGAACATTTCATGTCCAATGTGCTGAAGCTGTCCTGTCCTGGGAGGGCTGCACATAGACATATATACATGTACATATGTCTATGGGGCGGCACACCTTGTTTGGATGTTTCTCCATCTTTTTTGTCTCGTAGTTTTTTGGCGAGACTTGGACCAGAGTTCTTCTTCACTTTATTCTTTGATTCAGATGCATCCACTGACTTCGTCAGTTTGGCTTTCATTTCTCCACCCTAAAAAACAACAAGACAGTTACTCAAGTACAACACAACACGGAGGACTAACTCGGCATGTGCTCAGCTAGCTGACATAACAAGGTTAAAACAGACTGCTCACCTGTGATGTTCAGCGTTTGTTCAGCGTTTAACGCAGCGGTGCAGGAAGTCCAGTGTTTGCATAACGCAGCACTACACGTGAAGGCTAATGGCTGCACGGCTGTGTTTTGTAACTCGTGTGTCTTTACAGCTGGTGGACGGTGGGTGTCACTGTTTGACCACTGAGTGGACGCCATGTTTGTAGTTCTAATCGGACTCCAAACGGACATTATGTCAGCTTTCAGTAAAGGGGCTTTATTTATGAGAAAAAAACCCATGATAATAACAATAATAAGAGAAATAAGAATATGTTTTGTTGTTTTCTCATTGTATATATTATAGAATATATCATTATTTGCACAGCTAAAAAACACAAAGAAAAAAACTCATATTTTCTTTACATGACCCTATAAAAAGCATATGCAATAGATATTTTTGAAATATCTGCTTGTCTTTTTTTAAATATATATTTTAATTTTTTTTAATATATATTTTTTTGAAAATATATTGTTTGAAAAACCTTTTCCACTGTGGTATAGACCAGGGTAAAACGTGCTAGTAAAACATAGTGGCTGCTGGATTTGTTTCACTTACCAGCCAGTGAAATAATGATACTGAATTGAATGGCTGGTAGAGTTTTAAATCCATCAGCTACAGTGGTAGGTAGACAAAACAGTTCATTTCCAACCTAGACTACAGCATATTATCAGGCATTATTATTGTATATATTTAGAGTTATATGTCTATCTGTCTATGACAAGCAGCACCTGTGGCAACTGTACATTTCTTTCTTCTTTATTTGGATTACAATTAGTTTCCACAAAGTGGTGTTTTGTCATGTATTTATTAATAACCTATAAATCTATATGCACCATTCACATTTTACAGATAGGCCTACTGTATGTCCATGATTTACAGTTGCACACAGTATAATTGTAAAATACACATGGTGTGTAGTGTTATTTTTTTTACTGGAAAAATTAAGTCACCCTTCTACCTCACTCCTTTTTTAAAAATCCAATACATTTCCCATCATGATTTTTTTTAACTCTTGAAACTTCTCAGATCAGTACTGAGCTTGGTAAATTACCTTTTAGTTTTTCTGCACCAAATGGAACAAGTTACAAATGGTATTTAAATTAGACAGGTATGTGTCTATAGATCATTTTAAATGTATGCTAGATGTGTATTATGTACAGTGCTCCTGTTTTGATAAATTCACAGACATAAGTATTGTTTTTATCTGTATTGTATTGCTTTTATTGCTGTTGTTGTGATTTATCTATCATCTGTTACCTTTTTGTAAAACCATTTTACAGTTTGTATTGCTGTTTATCATTCTTGACAGACATCACTGCCAGTAATTTATTTAATTGATTTTTTTTCACCATTTTATTGCAGTTGTTATCATATATTATGTATCCTTCTAGACTGTATGAATGTGAATGTAGGGCATTGCTGTAAAATAGTTCAGTTTTCCCTGAATAAACAGTGGTTGATGATGAAATTGCACAGGAATGTTACACAGTATAAATAAAAAGAATAAGGTTTTGTATATGATGTATATGTATATGGGCCAATCATTATTATATGATAACATACAATATATAATATGATTATATAATATCATATATCATGTCTGGTATAGAAACATACTAAATGACTTTATGTTGGCAATATTTCAATACAATAATCTGAAATAAATCCCTCTCCTACAATAAGAATGATGAAGTCATATATTGTCTCTTTACGAACAATAAAAATAAATAAAGTCTGTCACTGTGAGAGTTCCACTTCTTGTTGCTGTTTATTTTCGTTTGCCTGGTTTCTTAGGTGACTTTATATGTGTCTGGTATCAGTTTATCTGATGACTGTTACATACTTCACATTTCTCATGTTCCCTACAAGGCTCGGAGCTGAAGCCGGAAACACGTGTCAGCTTGTTGTGAAATCTGATTGGCTGCTGCCGTCTCGTTTTGAAAAAGTCCTCTGGTTACAGGAGGCGGAGGGAAAGTTCAAAATTGGAGGAACAGGAACGGTAAAAAAAAAAAAAAAAAAAAAAACCTCGAGAGGACGCGAGTCACAATGAACAGACAAGCGTAAGTAGACTGTAATATTTATTTTCAACTTAACTCACTTTAACGCACACTACCTACAAGTGCTATGCTAATGCTAATTGTCGTGTTATAGTTTACGGTCCTGTCGACGGAATCCAAACAACGAATGATTAGCTAGCTTAGCCGTAACGTTAGCCGGGGGCTAATACGCCGTCTAGCCAGCGGCTTTGTTAGCGCATCCTCGCTGTAATGAAACACTAACGCTACACTGTGCTGATGAAATGTGATTTTCTTTTTCAGGAAGGGTAGGACACCCCGCAGGCCTCCTCATAAAAAGCCCTCCAACAACCAGAAAGACCCGGTTGGGGTGAGTGTCATTAAGTTTGTTCAATAATTAACGTTAACAAACAACGCAAACTGTTTCGTTCATGTACTTCTGGGATGTGGTGTATGAATGTCTGATAAATTGTAGTTATAAAGTAAGGCTCCATACTATGTTTGTTTTCCCAAAGGTACAATGAAGTAAAAGTAGTACTTAATAAAACACGTCCTCCTCCTCCTGTGTGTACTCAGGTGTACTGCCGTGTACGACCTCTGGGTGTGGAGGACGAGGAGTGTTGCATCGAGGTCATCAGCGGCACCACCATCCAGCTGCACGCCCCTGAAGGCTTCAAAACAAACCGCAATGGAGAATACAAAGAGGTAACACGTTTAATGAACCACAAGTATTTTTGTTGTTTTCCCTCCTTTTGTTGTACTGCTGAAGGGTTAAAGCAGAGGTCTTCTTTTACACAATGATCATGTGCTTAAAGGAATAGTTTAGTTCTTTTTCAAGACGATTTGTTTGGGGTATTTATCCATAGTGAGTATATTACAAACAGTAGAAAGTAGTTAATTGACATGCTCCAGTTTGGAGAAACAGGCTGGAGCCCGACATGAAAGCTACATGAAAACATATTTTAGCCACCTAAAAAAGTCCTAGTCAATATCAGATTAAGTGTATGCTATATTGAGAGTATTTTCATTGCCTTACGTTAATGTCCGACAGTGGTTTCCAGCAGTAAAATGAATCAGTTGCATTCCTCTCTTCACAGCCAGACTCCATTAAGAAAAACGGTGATTTAACATTGCTTAACACAGGAGCTGCAGGTCTGTCACTACCTCCATCAGTTAGTTTGTTTGTAACTTTGGTGTTTAAAGGGGTTAGTTGGGTACACCAAAGTTGTACAATAACACTAATTAACTAACTAACTTAAGCAGTGGTAGACCAGCAGCTCCCGTGTACAGCGGGGTCTGGTGGCTTTGAGCAGTGCATAGATTGGGGACTGAAACTGTTAACGGCTCCCCAGCTGCCAACAGGCTGTCTGATGGAAAGGTACAGTTCTGAGAATACTCTCAATATGCTGTACACTTAAATTGGTATTGATTTTTGTAAGTGACTAAAATACATTTTGTTACTGACCCCATTCACAGCGGGACATTGCTTGGCTTCCATGGCGGGCTCCAGCCTGCTTCTCCAAAATGGGGGCATGCTGTCTACATCTAATTTATGTCATACTACATTGAATATGGAAACGTATCCCATACAATCCCACTTCAAACATATATGATATAATATTCCTTTAACTGTCATATTTAATGTAAAGGATACATTTAGTGATATTCTGCATTCTTCTAATTGTAAACAAATCCAATGAAAAGACCAAAACCAACAATATATTATTCGCATTAATAAGTATTGCCCATGTTGCCAAAGTCTGATACATCTTAGCTGTTACAAAAAAATGAAAAAACAAAAAAATCTTAAAAACACATCTGTGGAACATGGGGACTGTTGTTTCGAGTCAGTCCCACATACACAATCCTGCTACCATGAATACTCAGTAGTGTACCAAATTCCATTCTCTTTTGCTTCTCAGACACAGTATTCCTTCAAAAAAGTATTCGGAGTGTCAACATCTCAGATGGAGCTGTTTGAGTTTGTGGCCAAACCTCTTGTCGATGACCTCATCCATGGAAAAAATGGTAAGAGCTCCAGAAAGAAGACACTTATTTTTCGAAACAATATGCGTCTAACTTCAGCCAGCTGCCTAATTTGCAAACTAAATTTTAGTACATCTGCTGTGTTTCCTGCCACTGATTTTCCTGCGTTGTTGCAGGTCTGCTCTTCACGTACGGGGTCACAGGAAGTGGAAAGACGTTCACCATGACTGGCTCTCCAGGCCAGGGTGGACTTCTACCTCGCTCTCTTGACATGATCTTCAACAGTATTGGACCCTACCAGGCCAAACGATATGTACGAGAGTTAACATTCAAAAATTGTGTTGATAATCACTTGTACCCACACATCTTAGTAATATTTTGTTAAGTCTGTGTTTATCTATTTTAATACCTCCTGTGTTTTTCCTCAGGTTTTCAAGACTGATGACAAAAATGGCATGGAGGTCCAGAATGAAGTCGATGCCTTGTTGGAGCGTCAAAGGCGGGAAAACAACTTGCCTATTCCTAAGACACCCTCCTCTAGGTAAGTCTGAGTCCTGTTAAACACCAGAGTTCTGCTACACTGTGACCGATACATAACATGCGCTACTATGATTTCAGACAAAAGCTTGATCCTGAAATTGCTGACATGATTAAGCCAGAGGATGCTTATAAAGCTGATGATGTGGATGAGGACAGCAGCTACAGCGTCTTCGTCTCCTACATAGAAATCTACAACAACTACATCTATGACCTCCTGGAGGAAAATCAGGAGGATGCAATCAAACCAAAGTAAGTCCTAGAAATGTAAAGTGAAAGAATAATAACCCAGAGAAAGACTCATGAATAGTAAATCAGCATTAGCATGTTTAATTTGTTCACAGACATTAAAATGTTTTAAGTATAGTAGCTTGTCGAGATGATAATTTTATGTCAGAGTAGCTGGTAGACAAAAATTATTGTCTGTTCTTTTTACTAGGTGGAATGGTGGAGGCACACCTGTGCGCCAGAACACTGAGTTCATGTATGTGACCAGTGAATACACGTACATCATCAGACTAGTAGCCTGATTCAGATGAACTCTCCC